TGGTTATTGGAATTTATTCCATATACACCAATCTATACTTGTATCTACATGTATGTACGTATATATAATTTGTTTAAACTTTATTTTTAATTAATACTCATATTTAAGTAAATGCTCTGTTTTTATTATTAAACAGTATATTTATTTATTTACATCTAATGGCCTGAATATTTGAGAAATCTTGTTAGAAAATATGTGCCCTCTGGCAGGATTCGAACCCAAGTCACCTTGGAGAAACTGTCATTAGATCTGATGGGCCTTGACCTCTTGGCCACATAAAACCTCCTGGTCAAACAAAGCCTGAATAATGCTTTTGATACATATATCTTTCCTGATTCTCAAAATATACCCAGCTGCTGTTTCATATCCTAACATAAACATAGGCAATTTTTGTTTAAACATTAATTCTAATAAATAAATATACTGTTTAATAATAAAAAGAATATCTGCTCAAATATCAGTACATTAAACAAATAAATTAAGAATATGCTGGATTTAATCCATTTCCAAAAACAATTGTCTGTTTATATTAGGATATGAAACAGCAGATATGTATATTTTGAGAATCAGGAAAGATGTGTTCAAAAGCATTATTCAGGCTTTGTTTGACCAGGAGGTTTTATGTGGTCGAGAGTTTAAGGCACATCAGATCTAATGAGTTTCCCCCAAGGTGACGTGGGTTCGAATCCTGCCAGAGGGCACATATTTTCTAACAAGATTTCTCAAATATTCAGACCATTAGATGTAAATAAATAAATATACTGTTTAATAATAAAAACAGAGCATCTACTCAAATATGAGTATCCACTAAAAATAATGTTTATATATATATATATATATATATATATAAAAAGAAAATATTGGGAAAATTATGACAAAGTGAGAAAAGTTTGTGAAATGTTTCTTTCCTCAGGACTTCATTGGACTAAATTTATGTTGCACATGTGTAGTTGTACCAAGATAAAAATTTAGTCCGATGAAGTCCTGAAGGATGAAACATGTCACAAGCAAACTTTTCTATTTTGTCATAAGTACAGGGGTGGTACAGATTGAATAAAATTCCAATAACCAAAAACACTATTCTTAAAAGATTGCTCAATACAAATAGTGTGTGTGTGTGTGTGTGTGTGTGTGTGTGTGTGTATGAAATGACATCTTTATGGACCACTGCACAAACTGTCTTCTTTGTGACCAGTCATGACAGCATCAAAGTATTCTCACTTTGGTGCAGTGGGAGGTAGTGTCATCTCGTTGGAATTCCCAGGATGAAGTTTCCCTCATTGAAAGGTAGTGAGCTGCCTGAAGAAGCACAGAACTGATGAGTCTTCTTAATTCAGTTATTTCCTTTCCCCCATTTTAATGGGTGCTTCCAAGCAACAGCAGCAGGCTTGTCCCCACTCCCTTCCAACTTGCATTTGCACAATGAACCAAATCTAAACTGGTTAAAATTTCTCTTTCACACTAACTTCTGATGTCTGGAAAGTGTATGCCACTTCAATTTCTGTAGACTAATGAATTTCTACTGGACTTTTAATTGTGCAACTCTCTTTGTTGTATGGGAACAGAGAAGAACTGATACATTGTAATCCCAGCCAGAAGGCCATTGTGTGTTTGTTCTGACCCATATGTAAATAGTGCTAACATTTTTTATGGGTACTATGCAATAATAATTTCTCATACTCAGTTTAAAGGAATGTCTAAAATGTTCTATGATATTCCAAGTGTATAATTATTTTTTCAAAGTTAATTATTAGCACTGAATTTCTACATCAAATCTTTTTTCTTAATAATAAATCACATCAGATTTAATTCTATAAACAATTTATAGAGAATTTGTATAATCACTTTTTATTAACACTGTGCTGGGTTTCTCCTACAGATAATCTTGTAAATGTTTTTTTTTTTTTTATTGTGGTCTAATGTTATCTCTAACAGATGATTTTTATACCTACCAAAGTTTTCCACTGGGTTAAAAATACCTGTAAAATATAGTTTCCTTGTTTTGTCTTTCTGAGAAACAATTGGTTCCTTCACAGAATGTGAATCAGATTTACTCTATTTCCAGGGTGTTTGTTTTTTTTTTGTTTTTTTTCTTTAATGCCAGTCCAAGTTTTATAGAAAACTACAATAAAATGGAGTAAAAATAGTAATAAAAAATAGTAATTATAAATAGTAATTATGAAGACCATATCAACCCAGAATGTTCAGATAAAAAGCAATAACAAGATGTGTAACATCATGGGCGTGGAATAAAGAAGAATTTAAGGTTAAGAATTAAGAAGAAAAAAAAATCTCCTAACTAATAAACAGCCACATGGGTTGTTGGAAATATATCATATTTCTGAAATATGATATATTTAACAGGGTTAATTGACAGTCACAAGTCCTGCAATAAAAAGAAAAGAAGCAGAATGTGGTGGGGTCTTTTCATTGGTCCATGGATTGACTAATCAGCAACTAGTGAGTTCCTCCAAGTTTTTCAGTGAGGTTTTTGGTTTGGTAGTGAGCAGATTGGGGCTAGGATAGTTCTCTCACTCACTGTACCCTCTCCATCACTGACAATTAGTCAGCTAAATTTTCCTGCTGGAGACAATAACATTAGCCAATACAGATCCCATTGCGTTGTGCCATTTATTATTACAAAAAAACAAACAAAAAAAAACATCTTCTGCCTGGTGAAAAGATGGCTTTTGATTTTCAGTGAGAAACTGAGATGGTGCAACTCTAGGGTATTGGCCTGAAGACAGCCAGTGCAACTCACTGTGAAGCAATGACCATTGTTTACCAAACACCAGTTTGCACCATACAGGATGCCATCACAATGCAACTGATGAAGTAAAACTAAGAATGTAAAGTAATATATTGTAAACAAAAGGGTTTTTATATTATTTTTTTTTTTAGATGGGACTAAATGTTTATAGTTCAGAGTATAAAATATTCTTTGGTCATTTCAATAAATAAATCAAAAAGGAAGAAACCATGAGTCTATAAATTCTTTTAGTTAAATAATAAATTAGTTGTCGAAAAAGTTACTAAGTGTTGAATGACAAAGATCTCCATATTGCCTGTTCTAAAATCCTATTTAAGGGAAAGAAAAGAAATTCTACTTGAGGAAAAAGGAATACAAAGTAGTGCTGAAGACATGAAATAATAAAACAACTCAGCAATAAAACTTCTTCTACCCTTACATTTTCAATTAAAAGTCAAAACATATTTGAAAAAGAATTTTCTGATCTATAAATTTGAGAAATCATGAGCTGAGGTGAAATCAAAAGGGACACTAAAAGAGATGAATTGACTGATCATTTTTAGGAGGAGGGGAGGACAGAGAAACAAAAATCTAGATTTTGTTGCTTTTTTTTTTTTTTGGCAAATGTTCACACGCACGCCAGTTTTAATGAGAAAAAATAAGTAGAGAAATTGTAAAACAAAAACAAATTATATTTAGTTAAGAAAATGAGTTATAGAATATTGAACAAACCACATGAACTAAAGAGGTTTATTATGTTTAATTTTTTTGTTTTTTTTTTCCCAGATTTTAAGAGAACTTTTTTTCTTTTTTTTAATCTCAATTGGATAAAAAAATTTGTGCTTTCTCAGCATTTTGTGACAGTTTTTTTTTTTTTTAAAGTAAATTTCATTCATACATTTTTTTTTTCTTGACAACCACATGCAGTGGATTTTCTTTTCTTAAAAGCTTTTTTTTTTTTATCAGTGACTATTTGTCGAAGATTTAGAATGTTGTGAACCCTTTCAACAATTTTGACTTTTTTGATCTCTTATTTTATTTTAAATATTTAAATTGTTTCATTTTTCTTTTAAGTAAATTACAGTCTTTTTTGTCTTTTTCTTTTTTAATTAAAAAATTGCTTCTAATATCATTTTTGTTTGTTTTTTGAAATTTATTTAAACTAAATTAAACTTCTTTTCTTTTTTTTTTTTCAATTTTATGTGTAAATTATTTTCTCCTTTCTTTCTCTGATAGAGTCAAGCAACCTAGGGAATTAAGTAATAAATAAAAGATATATGTCTGTGTGTGAATTTGTGTGAGCAAGCAAAAAAAAGAAAGGGTTGTATGAAATATATATGTACATATATATGAAATGTATAAACACATACATTTAAAACAACTCCAGACTAAACTTTTACAAAATAATAATAATAATAATAATAATAATAAAAGCCTCAGTTAAGCATAACTGAGAACATTATGATGGGATGGGGTAAATGGTTGGGAAAATACGGAAAAAATATTTTAAAATAAATAATGATTTTTGACTTGTTCTTGGGTCTTAACTTTTTTTAAAAAATTTTAACCTTTGATATTACAAAAAAAGGTAAGTAGAGAAATAACAAGCAGACGACAGTGTTTTTCTTTAAAAAAAAAAAAAAAAAAATCACGGGGTTTGGGGAGGGGGGGATTTTTTTTTTTTTTTAATTTTTATGTTAAGTCCCAGATAAATAATTGCAAATTATATAAGTAATTTTTAACACTTCTGCTGCTGTGAACATACTCAGACATCTTTACAAAACTTATATTGCCTCTTAACATATATGTTTTCAAGAAATAAATCTAGATAAAACTTAGATCGCCTGTTATCAGTATGTTTTTATATATATATATATATATATATATATATATATATATATGTGTGTGTGTGTGTGTGTGTGCAAGATACCTTAGAATGTCAATTCCTAGTGTGTGTGTTTTAAACTAGCTAGTGTTTAATGCTATTTCCAAAACAATGTAGACATATACTAGCATACAATACAACCTCGTTTGCGTTGTATTTTTTATTATATTGTGTGGTGGGGGTGTATTTTAGCTTAGTCTTTACTGCAGAGTATCAGATCGAAACCCAAAATAGCGGCGTCCATGAGAAATCGTCATCAGCGTCTTTATAGTCATTTCTTTCCCATATATGGCAATTTCTTATTTTCCCCCAAAACAGATCAGCACAGCCAGACAACAATGCTATAACAATGCAGCAGTGAAAGCGTTAAACAATGTACTGAGAATTTTCAACGAGGGTCGTCCCAGTCGAGTTCAGTAGAAACCTAAGCTTGTAAAAGTCTTCTATAGAGAAGCTTCCCGAAGGATCGAGGGAACATCGAGCAAATCTGTTGACCATCATGGCTCTCTCCTTATCCAACCAAAAGTCGTAGGCTTGTTCTTGGCTCACAAAACTACTTCCAGCCAGCTCGCTTGGGTACGGTCCCCAAATAAGCAATTCTAACATGCCACGTACAATTGCCAAACAGTCAGTTTTATCTGACTGTAGCAATTCAAGTCCTCGCTGCAAACCTTTGGAACACTCTGTCAGTTTCTCGTCACCACTGATGTACGATTCGAAGAGATCTTGCAATAGTTTGGCACAAAAGTTGTTCAGGTCCGACGACAGGTTATTGTCCAACCTGAATGACGGAAGCAAGCAAACCCGCTTGCCACTGAAACTCTTTTGCGAAAGGAGAAAAATGCCTACTGGCTGGAAATGCATCTGTGGCGAACCACGATCCAAGTGATGTAGGACACCACTGACCACTTGAAGGAAGAGAAAAGACAGAATCTGGATAAAACTGTCCGGATTGTGGATCATAGTGTCTTTGAGATCAGTAATATAGTCATGCCAGGCTACAACTATAGAATATTGCCCGACTGCCAAATGCCAGTGGATGCTGGGGACAGCTGGTGTGGATGATGATGATGCCCCTGTTGGCAACATTGAAGATTGGTCAATGCTAGCACTCATTGAGGCCGGAAGGAATGATGGCGGAATATCCTTGTTGGAAATGTTCTGTAGCTTCATGAAAGCCGGATGTGGAACATAAGAATCAGAAACATTGTTGTCGTGTGTTAACTGCAAGAAGAAAAAGAAAATGTTTTAGTTTTTGTTTTCATTTTTTTTCATCATTTTACCCAAGCAAGGCGAAAATGCCACTAAGCTGTGAGGGGTTACTGGCAGTGAAAGAGATGAGAGGAATTTATTGAGGAGAAAAGGACAATAAAATTCAGAAAGAGATTTTTTTTTTTTCATAAAAATGTTGTTTTATATATATATATATATATATATATATATATATATATATATATATATATATATATATAACATAATATTGTTTTTATAAAAATCAAATGAGTGAAGATTACAAACAAGATGAAACTAGAATTAATAATATTATTAAAAAAATGCACACCAGTTCACAATAGCAAAAAATTAGATTATTTATTACAAAAAATTTAAAACCTCTAAACTCATAGTTAAAAATAATAATTCACTTCTTAGAACAAAATTAAATAGGACAAATATTATTTACAAATTTAAATGCCCATTAAGGAATTGTATTCCTGATCAATCAAAATTCATAAATAATTATATAGGCCATACTACAAAACGAAGATTAACACTACACTTTTTCTGACCATAGCTCAATTAGGTCTCATTTAAATACTCAAGGCGATCTACTAGACCCTATTCATAAAATACTTGATAACACAAATATAATAGCATCATCTACATGCATAATAGGCTAAAAATAGTGGAAGCTTTATTAATAAAAACAAAAAAAACAACACTCAATAATATCAACTATGAACATGGACAGAATATCTTGACCGTGTTTTGAAAATGAAAACATTATATAAATACATATATTCAACAATGTATTTCTTGTTAACAGTTAATATATTTCAACCTTGAAAATGGCTAAATGTATAGCCGAAAGCGCTCAGATAAAAAGGACAATTAGACATTTTTTATATAATTTATCATCCGAAAAGAAGAAATTGTTAGATCACGAGAAATTGTAAAAAAAAAAAAAAATAATGTAAATCAAAGCACTTGTCTGTCGTATTCAATGAAATGTGCATATATACACACACACATATATATATATATATATATTTAAAATGAACTCAGTCCAACAATTATTTTAATATATTTTTTGTTTATATGTTATTTTTATAGACACAGTTATTTAAGTAAATGCACTGTTTAGAATAAACAGTATTAATTACATTTACTGGCCTAAATGTCTGAGAAATTTCATAGAAAATATTGAACCTGTGTCCTACACGGGACTATCATTTGATCTGATGTGCTATAACATGCACACACACACACACATATATATATATATATGTATATATATATATATATATATATATATATAAAAATAATGAAATATAGTCTTAAGGTGTGCTATATTTATGGGATAAAGTGCTCAATATCAGAGATAGAGCAAGTGTAAATATAAAAGTGAACATTGAAGTCAACACTTAGAGGCAACAGGCTTTTTCATGCTAGACACAATCGTCAGGCCATGAGTGCTGTTTTTTTTCTTGGCTATTTATATATATGGATCAGTGGTGCATTGTGGGTAGTCTATTTTGGTGATTATTTTCAAAATATATATATATATATATATATATATATATATATATATATATATATAAATAAGGAAGTGTCTGGTTAGCAAAGTCCAAATTAAATTATTTTATTATGCATTTATTATAAATAGATCATTTAATTAAATAATTGTATCTATAAAAATAACATAAACAGAATAACTAATGTAGGTAGAATTTTCCTGAATTTAATTCACAAACACTTTGGTCATTTGCCAACATTAAAAAAGACTTTCAACAAAAATAATATTAAGGTAAGCTAAGCTGTGCAAAAAACATGGATAATTATATATCATAACAATAACATATTAAGCAAAGACACAAACAAAACACTGAATAATAATCCTACTAAAAGTCAAAAAACATAACCTGTCCATTAAATGGCAAGTGCATTACAGAAGGTGTAATCTACAGAGCTACAATCAATTCAAATGATGATGTTAAATATTACTTTGGATCCACCAAGAACAGCTGGAAATTGCATTTTTTCCACCACGAAACGATACTGAGCAATATCAAATACAAAAACTGCAGATTTTCAACATATTTTTGGCGATTAAAAAATAACCTTATGAACTCAACCATTAGCCGAGAGATGATCGCAAAAGCTAAACCATACAATGGAAAGGGAGACAGATGTAACTTGTGTTTGTTGAAGAAGCTTATTATATGAAAACACTTAAATAACCCTAACTTGCTGAACACAAGAATAGAATTGATGCCTACATGTATCCATAAGACCAAGGACCTGCTCAAACACATTGGCACCAATTAAAAGAGATTACAAAATGGATTTTATGAATATTAATATAATATGCAATAACTATTAGTATTCTTAGAACCCATCACTAATAACTGTTCTTATATATATCTCTACACACACATAATCCCATATTACTGTACTCAATCAATTTATAATGTGTGTACATGTACAATTTCACCTATGTAAGTACAAGGCTTGGTTCCAAACACATTAGATATAAAGTCCCAACCTATTATTATATTTACAGCACGAGTACTAGTTTAATTTAATTGTTATAACTCCGGCATTATATGTGAAAAATGTGAGTTGTTCCCCTTGATACCTAACTTGTTTAATTATTTCAAATTTAAATAATTTTTTTTTACTTCTTTGTCTTTTGAGCTTATGAATTTGAATGATATAAATTATAAATAATTAATTATAATATTTTAGACAACAATAATTAAATAAACAAATCTTAACACACAATTTTAAATCAACACCACAAGAACGTGAACTCTATAATAGTCAGAATATATTCAGCACATGAAAATTGCAAGACTGCATGAAACTGAGTTGTATTACCAACATTGGATATTATGCATATTCACTAACATATTCTTATAGCTCTGTTACATAACATTGAGCACTGTATTTATAACACCTGAGGAATACGTGTAATTATATGGGCGTATATATATATATATATATAAACATAAAAATATGTCTTTAATAAATAAATTGTCGGACCTTGTCCATTTCTTAATATATATATATATATATATATATATATATATATATATATATATTTTATCATGCATATGCATATATCATAAATATTTTTTTTTTTTTAAATAGATAATCATCGCAACACTGGAATTCCCATGTTTCAAAAATGAAACTTCAATTTAAATTCAATCATAAAAATTAAACTTTAAATACAAAGTTCCATTCCATTATCAAGTGATGCTAAGAATAACTTTTTAGAAATTTGATTTACTTAACTTATAAGTCCAGACAAATTTGATATTTTGAGATGTTGGGGTTAAGAAAAATTCTATCTTGTTTATTAATTTTAAAAATTTTCCTTATCCAAGCATCCACACATACACTACTTTCATTTTGGTATCTGATGAAGCCTTAAAAGGCAAAATGCATAAACAAATCTAGTTTCAATGAAACATTTTCCATTTCTCAAATTTCTTAAAAAACTTTGCCGAGATTCTATATCCCATTTTAAACACATAAGTATATAATAATAATAATAATATATATTTTTTCCTTGCCTCTGAGTTTCATACATGTGACAATTGTCAAGCACAAATTGAAAAACTTATACATATTTAAATAAGGTGTATTATTATACTATCATATTTACTTACTATATTATTCAATCAAATAAAGATTATTTAAATTATATGACCCTGCAGCAAACGAGGACAATAACATAACACAATTTTGATGTTCTCTCATAGGATGAGAAATCAAAATATTATTCACAAAAAAAAAAAAAAAAAAAAAAATTAAAAAAAAAAAAAAAATATATATTATCCCATGACCCATAGGATTGTAGGGGCACCATGTGTACTGCAGCCAGAGTAAAAGTGGCAAGATAGCCTGATGGAGCTCAAACCTCTCCAGGCAGTTTTTGAATTCAGAGTTTTTCCTTCTTCTAGACTGGTTGCCACCTAAGTTTATAGAACCCAGTCTGTCCTGCTATTTACCCATAGCTGCATGGAGAAGAAGGGTATTAGCCAAGGGTATTAGCATGTAAGTGAATGTAATGGATCCGAATGGAATTCAAACTTGGCTCTCCGATTCCGCCATCCATTACTCTACCATTCCTCCATATATATGTGTGTTGGAGCAGCAGATCATTATTCAAACATATATTGTTAAATATTTCAGACAGCGAATGTCTATTGTGTTTGATCATGAGCCATTCTAAACTTTGTATAATGGCTTTACTTTCAGGAGAAAATAAAGACAAAAACTGTCCAACATTTAGATATTTTTTTTATTATGCTCTTCCTTGATTTAAGCTGTTGGATAGTTTTTGTCTTTATTTTATCTTGAATCTAAAGCCAATATACATATTATATATATATATATATATATATATATATATATATATATATATATATATATATGAAAAGTGTGTGTGTGTGTGTGTATATACAGCCATGGCCAAAATTATGGAACACCTATAAAAATTTGAGATAATAGTTTAAACCTACGTATTTCAAGGTTAAGAATCGTACAGTGAATAATTGAGAGCAAATGTAAAATATTTAACAGTAGATTGTAGTATTTTTTTGCTTTAAAGCCTCTCTCAAGAGCTTTAGCTGAGTTTCGTACTAAATTCATTCCAATATTCAAAACGATTTATTGTCATACTAAAGGTTGTTTCGTAATTTTTGGGTAATATTTGATTCCTACCAGTGTATATTTAATTGAAAATACCTCCAAAGAAGCAGCTTTCAGAGATTAAAAGGGCGCAAATTGTTGCTTTATCTGGCGAAGGATATTCTCAGGTAGAAATTGCCAGGAAGATGGCATGTTCAAGGAAGGGGGTTCAAACAACTATTAAAAGGTACAAGGAAACAAAGTCTTTCACAAACAGAAAAGGACAAGGCCGTAAAATGTCTACAACTGCCAGGGAAGACAGATTTTTGAAAAGAGCATCCCTTGCAGATAGGAGGAAAAGTTCTTCAGAGCTTGCTGCTGAACTTAGGGAGGATGCAAACAAAAACATATCAGCTCGAACAGTGAGAAGAAGGTTATTAGAAGTGGGATTAAAAGGATGCGAAGCCAGGAAGAAGCCATACTTGTCTCAGGCCAACAAGAAAAAATGACTGGAATTTGCAAAAAACCATGAAAATTGGACACCTGATGATTGGGACAAAATTGTTTGGTCTGACGAAAGTAACTTTGAGGTAAGTTAACAGCTTCTATTTCCTAAACTTTGGATGTAATAATTGAAACTTTTATGTGAATACACATCCTATAACATTTATTAAAAAATTGTAACAAATTCTTTTTTTTTTCATCAGATTTTTGGCACCCCTGGAGCAGTTTATGTTCGCTGTAGGGAAGGAGAGGCATTTCATCCTGATTGTGTGGTTCCAACTGTAAAATTTGGAGGAGGAAGCGTAATGGTTTGGGGCTCCATGGCTTCTTCAGGCACTGGAATGTTGTACACATGTGAGGGCAGAATGAACTTCACAATTTATACTAACATTCTGGACCAGGTTTACCGAACCTCTTTGACTAAAATATTTAATAATAACATTCCAAGTGATGTAATCTTCCAACAAGACAATGCTCCATGCCATACGTCAAAAGTTTCAATCGGTTGGTTTGAGAAAAAAGGGATTACAGTGATGAAGTGGCCCCACTCAATCCCCAGACCTAAATCCCATTGAAACTTTGTGGTCCCATTTAGGGAAAAGAGTGAGAATGCACAAATGTTCATCAAAAAAAGAATTAGAGGCCAAACTTCATGAAGATAGGCAGAAAATAGATCCTACCACCTGCAACAACTGTGTGAATAATATGCAAAAACGAATAAAAGCTGTTATCAAGGCAAAAGGAGGACATAGCAAATATTGATTGTTGTTATTAATGTTTACTCCACTATTCTTAACCTTTAAATATATAAGTTTGAATCATAATTTCGATTTTTCATTGGTGCTCCATAATTTTGGCCAAGGCTGTGTATATATATATATATATATATATATATATATATATATGAAAAGTGTATGTATATATATATATATATATATATATATATATATATATATGAAAAGTGTGTGTGTGTATATATATATATATATATATATATATATGAAAAGTGTGTGTGTATATATATATATATATATATATATATATATGTGCGGTATTTATTGAAAAGCGCTCAATATCAGAGATAGAGTTAACATATTTAGTTGGAGTGATGTGAGCTCGTGACGATCGCAAAATCGTGAAACCCAGGAAATTCACATCAATCCAACTAAAATATATATATATATATATATATATATATATATATACACACACACCTTAAAAATAATTACATATTTGTTCCTCGCCACTCTATCCTACTCAGTTTCATGCTTATAACAACAGTCAGGTACACATTAAAATTATCCAATCTAACCCCTCTTTTATTTTACCATTCTGATTATTACTATCCTAATTCAATGTGCACTAATTTATAATCATATGTGTAAGATGCATTTAGGCATTTTATTATACCTTTCTAATTTTCAAATGAGGTGTTGTACATACAACTGATTTTTTTACAGTTTATCAACCCTTTGTGGGTTATTTAAAGCCAAAATATTTTGAATGGTAACAAGAATTCTTTTCTTGCGTGTGAATATTATATTCATAACTTTTTGAGATTAACAATAATCTTTCCATATACAATACTAGTTAACCCATACCTGGGGGAAAGAGATGGACTCATACCTTTTGTCGGAGTATTTGTGCATAAATGAATGTCATGGACTCGACTGGAATCTGAATGCAGTCTCCAGAGTAAGGGAGGGTATTCCAACCACACTCGGGATTCAGCAAACCTTTTGTTAGCTGCACAGTGTGTGCTTGACCAGGGCTATATATGGTTTCTAATTCAGCGTTGTCCTTCTCCTAGACTGGTTGCCAACCAAAGCTGAAGAACCCAGTCTGCCCTACTATTTAACTCATAGCTAGTAGAAGATTCATATTTATCCTAAGGCTATTTGCAAAAAAGTGAATGTAACAAAACTCTAATAGAAATTGAACACTTCTCTCTGAATTCTTGTTCCAAGCTGATTGCACCACCTGCACTTCCACATATAAAATTACAAAAAAAACCCCCAAAAAACAAACAAAGTGCAAAAACTTACCACTAAATGACAAGATGCTCTGTCATTAATCAGTCTTGCGCTATAAACAATACAATCTTCAGAGGTATGCACAGGTTGGTTGCTGGTTAGTTCAAAGTCAGTCCATTTTAGGGAACCCAATGATCGATCCAAGTTTCGAGAAAAAATATTTTCCAAATAATTGTGGATGTGCTGCAGTGTGTCTTGATTCATATTTGTTATCTTACCATACATTTCTTTCACGTCTTCGGCCCCAAGGCTGGTTGTTACTGTGGCTGGCCGATTCATGGCTACATATTGTTCAGGTGGAGCCCCGTGGGGTCTTTTTGGTTTGCGCCGAGGAGCAGGTTTTGGTCGGGTAAGAGTTCCCATGGTCGGTTGAGGAATAGGCGCTACTGGCAGTGGTGGGGGAGGTGGAGAGGTCTCCTGTGACGTATCGGAAGAACGTGACTGCAAAGGGAGTTTATTCTCTGCAGCTGCACTACGGGGAACTTTGTTATCTTTCGGTAAAGGTGGCGGAACATCTTCTTCCGTATTTGCTGTAAAGAGAAGCAAAAAGAGATAGATTAGGTGGATTCTCGGAAAAGTAATAATCATTAGCAATTTATATACTACATGATGGCACAGGTAGAATTTATTAAAGAGATACCTGAAAAAAATTTCATTTACCCCACTTAATATATAATAGATATGCAGGTAGTGTAATGGTTAGCAATTCAAAACAAAGAGTATGCAAATTTTGTTTTTTTTATCATTTCACCCCAGGCAAAGCAATAAAGCCACTAAGATGCAAGAGGTTACTGAGTGTGAAAGAATGAGAAAAAGAAAAACATTATTAAGGAGAGAGAACAATAAAAGTACAAGACTGATTGATTTGCCTTTTACAGCTTATCAACCTGTTTGCAGATTATTTATAGCCAGAAAATATTTTTAAATTCTAAGAATTCTTTTATTTGTTTTGAGATAATAATGGTTTAGCAATACAAGTCGTACTAATTAACCCATAGCTGGGAGGAGAAGTGGATTCATAGCTTTCCCAAGGGTATTTCCATATAAATGAATGTTGCGACTTCAACCAGAATTTTAACTCGGCTCTCCGATTCACAATTCTGTGCCGTTATTCATTACCCGACCCACACATCCATTCTTACAGCACCTGGTATTCCCAAGTGGTCACCCATTTAGGTACTGACCAGTTATGATATTACTTAACCTTGGTGATCATACATAGGCCCTAAAAAAAATAAAAAATAAAAAAAATATAAAAAATAAACAGGAATTAAGAAGACTAAAGATAATTTTTGTAGATCAAAGTTGATGGACAGCAAGAAGCCAGAAGTGTGAGAGAAAAAAACTTAGCATAGGACTTCATCATTATCCTTCGAGCTCCTTATGGTTGGTCAGAACTCTGTTGACAATCCCTTTCCACACTGTTCAGTCCTGTATTGCTGTCCCCAGATCCCCAATGTTCAACCCTGAGTCCTGAGCTATGGTGTCTGGGAAAGTCAATTTTCAAGAAAAGATATTTCCAGAAGGATGCCATAGGAGTACAGATGAGACGATTTCTCTGTCCGCTCGATGGCAGTGGCTGGCAAACTGTAATTCTTTTTGTTTCAGCTTAAGAGAGATTGGTCTCAGTTCTCCATAAATTGTGTTAAGTGTTGCATGGGATCTCCAACTGATGTTCTGGATTTTTCTAAGTAGATTTGTATATGTTCCATCCAGTTGTCTTTCAAGACGAGCATAGGACTTACAATTACATCTAACAACTTTCAACTGTAAAATGACACCAAACTGCCAGTCTTGTGCTGTGCTTAAATTTGTAAAGTCAAAGTACCAAATAGGAAAGTGATATTTATTCTGTTTAATACAGAAATGTGGCACAAGGCCGAAAAGGGGATTGGGGAAAGGACGGTCTTCTTCTGTCTTAACTATAACTTAGCTAGCCGCAAACACTGACCCAATCTTACGAAACAATATTCCTTACACCAAAACAACACATTCATTCGTACCTTTCTTACTACAACCACCATAATACCTCTTTGTCTCTATGAAATAGGAAAGTTGATCAGAACATTTACTATGAAAATATTTATAGAAAAGACACAGGAAAGTTACATTACAGCAGTATGGAAGTGTGTGAAGCAGAGATGACAGGTCAGGACCAATAAAAATGCAGTTTCTTTTATCAAGAATCTCTAAATATATAGCAGAAACAACAAATAATATATGATAGCAATATTCAATGCAAATACCCTTCGAAAGGATATAAATTTATCTCCCCACTGCCTCAACTATGGCTTAAATAGCAGGGTAAACTTCACTCTTCAGCCTTGGTTGGCAACTAGTCTAGGAGAAAAACTCTGAATTCAAAGCTCACTTGGGCATAGGGTTAGCACATCCATCCCTACTTGGTATGAAAACCACAGCAATAAAACAGTTTTTTGAGGTTGTGACTCCCCTTATCCCACATTTGGAGCAGATATAACTTAAGAGGGAGAAAGAATAAATATGAGACTCATCCAGAAAAATGTCCAGCCATTTTGAATATATCAAGAACTGATTATGAAGCTTTGATGTAACTTGGCAACCATTCTGAGAGGATCTTATTGCACATGCAGACACTGAAGGCTGCTCAATCAACATTCTTGTAGAGAGTTATTTGGCAAAATATCAGATTGCCTGAATTTGTGACCACCCCCACCCATTCTCTCCAGCAGTTTACATTCCAGATTTAGTTCCATAGCCAATATAAGAAAAGTAAAAATTGATCATTTAAATATTTAGCTCTGTTCTTCTCAAAAACTTACCATAAAAGCTGAGAAATATACAAAAAGAATCTATGATAAAATGGTAGGGAGCTTATATTCGAGGTCAAAATTTTGCAGATTTTCCTCAACTTTAAAAATGGATGCTAAAAAAGAAAAAGCTCCAAAATATCTGGAGTGATTGTTTTACAATGAAATTTGATTTTACTTAGATTTTAGAAGCATTTTACAAAATATATTTTATTACTCACAGTCTTTACACAGTGATATCTTAAGTTGTTTCAAGTTAAGTCATTTCCAACGATACACCAGTTTTTCTTAAATATTATATTATATATATGGAAAAATAAAACTCACCTTAGGTCATTTTGCTAAAGTTTATGTCAGCCATTAAAAATATTAGAAATAACAAAACATTAAAATAACAAAAAAACATTTAAAATCATATTTAAATAAATTTTAAAATAATATGTATTATATATATATAAAATCATCAAAAACAAAAAATAGCATAATAAAGTATGTTCAGAAGATGTTCTTATTTCAAATTCTTGCTGACAGATGGCACTTGTGCATTATTTTCCACTCCAACAATAATTTTGAATTCTGATTTGTTTACATCTGTGCTCTGCCGTTAACATTCTTTCAATTACATGTCAGTTGTGATTTAAAATACATTTTTGCCCATGACTCTGAAGAAAAGTCCCAGTGCAAGTGCTGATGCTAAGCTTTATTGCTGGGAGATAAAGTGGAAATTTATTTTATTTAGAATACGGTATATACATATAAATACTGTAATAGGCAATGGGGAGTACTTATTTGTAGCTTATAGTGTGGTTATTTCGACCTAAGTCATGACCTCTGGAACCAATTAACGACATATGTTTTCATTTCTCACAGTGTGTATGGTCCATTCTCTAATTAATTCTCATTTATTAAATGTTCAAATTGATTCTGTATTTATACAGATGCTTTATTACCATTAATTATTAATTAATTTATTCTGGAAGATGAACATAGACAACAGTTCAAAAGTTTGAAGAAAACCCCGTAGTAGTTGTTTTGTACTTTAAATAAGAGAAAATTGTTATACACGGTTAAAAAAAGTGAAACATAATTTTCTATTAGAAATTTTATTATGAGACAAAGAAAGAAAAAAGCTTACACATGGGGGTCTGGATTTATGCCCATTTCTCAAGCACAAAATAGGGGATTGACACATACAAAAGTATATACAGTATACAAAATATGAACCTCAGTAGATTGCAAGAATACATTTCTGGACCTACCTCACAGAAGAATTTGTAGTAACCCACTTTTATACTTGGTGCTTCATTCAAAGAGTGATTGAATGAATGAATATCTAAAATCATCTGTCTATATTTTTGAGATGAGATATTGTAACTATTTCCATTGTTCAGATGTTGTCCTTATCTTTTTTACCTGAAATAGGCTGGTGTATATAACGGCCGAAATATTGTCAATGTGACAATAAAAATGAAGACAACAGTCCGAGCAATGTAAATAGTGTAAATAGTTATAATACCTCATCTCAAAAATATAGACAGATCTTGAAGGCCAGAAACTTTGTGAATATGACAATAAAGATGAGGACAACAGTGTAAATAAAATTCAAGATTGTAATATTAAAACTTAAGAACGGCAGTTGATAATTTTATCTTCAAGAAATTGGTAATACAATATTCACTCACAAAATAAAAAAATCCCAAAATATGTTTCAACTTTAAATGACATATAAAAAGGTTGAAAACCTATAAAAAACAAATCAATCAAATATTTATTAAATACTGTGTATTGTTATCTATCAGTCTATTAAAATTTCTCAAATATGCACAAAAAAAAAAAAAAAAAAAATTAATTCCTTGACAGGGATAGAACCTGTGTCCACCTTTGTAGGGGAAACCACTGTTTGATCCAGTGTGCTTTACCTCTTGGCTACAGAGAATGTTGCAGCAAGCCTGGATCTATTTTCCTCTTTTTTTTTTTTTAAAGGAGAGTACATCCTCTCTACTAAGATGATTTTCTCATAAATTTTATATCTGATCAGTTTTGTATCCAAAAAGCAAACAAAGCAATTCCGAAAGAATTAATGGATTTATTTTTAATCTGATATATTTTTTTATTAGTTAGAACATTTTTATGGTAGACACTCATATTTGAAATATAAGTCACATTCTTATTAAACAGTATGTCTATTTGTCAGTACATTTGAGAAACCTTAGCAGAGAAAAATGTGCTTCCTGACAGAGATCGGACATGCACCTCGCCATTTATAGGTCAATAGACAGAAGCTTCCTGGCAGGGATTGGGCATGCACCCCCCCTCCACTTATATATGATAGCTGTAATACACACTGTTTAATAAATAGAAATGCGGTGTCTATTTCAAATACAAGGTATCCACTATAATAACATTTGAAGAAATATATATAAAATTATTATTATTTGTAGCCAAATGGTTAAAGTGCATTGATTCTAATGATGGTTTCTCCTACAAAGGAGGATGGATGTTTGAATCCTGTCAGAGGGTGCATTTTCTTTTATAAGATTTCATGAATGCTTAGGCCAGTAGACAAGATATATTACTGTTTAAAATAAATGGAGTGTTTACTCAAATATGGGTATACACTAAAAAAAAGTTTAAAGTAATAGAAATATGTTGGATCAATAAATAAAATCCATTATTTCTTTAGAAATTGCTTTGTTTAGGTTTTGGATATAAAACTGAGTAGTTATGACTTTTGAAGAAATATGAATGTGTAAAATGGGCTTCAAGGTCAAAACAGAACCTTGCTTAATCACAACATTCTTCATAGCTGAGATTGTCAAAGCATGTCCGATCAAATGACAGTTTCTCCTGCAAAAGGGGGGGGTAGGTTTGAATCCTGCCATACACAAAATATAATACTGTCTAAAATAAACAGAATGTCTTCTCAAATATGGGTATCCACTAAAAATAAGGTTTAAAATAATAAATAAATATACGCACATACATATTTATATATAAGCTTAAAAGCTGCTTTTTTGGGAGGCATTTAAGCTAGCGAAGGGCACTTGATTGGTCCTTCATCACAATAGGTAGGGAGGAGTAGATATGATAGGCAACAATAAACTACAGAAGAACTCAAAATTGATCGCTGCATTTAAGTATGGCATTAATATTTAAGCTTACATTTTAAAAGTTCAATGATAATTCTTCTGCCACCATTTAATTTAAAGACAATTTGATTTACATAAGTCCTTACTTTCCATACAAACAATTACTTTTATTTCATAAATGACTTTTGTTGGATTTTGCAATTAATTTTGATTATTCTAGATTTATTTATTTCCAAGTTATAAAAATTGTTATCATGCAAAAAATAAAATTTCTCAAAAAAAAAAAATTTGCTGAAAACTATGGCAGTAATGAAAGCTTGGAAATCCAAAATTTCAAGATTGCATGTCCGGATCCAGCCCAGAATATTTTTAATTTTCTCACAGAGTTGTCCTGATTCCAAAATGGTATGCTATATTGGACTACAGCCTCTAGGAGTAAAGTTGAAAAAGTGTGACACAGTGACACATTGACATCTACATTTATTAAATAAGATTTCTCACATATTCAGGATGGTAGACAAAAATAAATATACTGTTTGATAAATAAATAGAGGAACGTCTACTCAAATATGAATATCCACTAAAAATAATGTTTAAAGTGATAAAATCTGTCAGATAAATAAAAAATCCATTATTTTTGCATCATGCAGTGTGTACTTTGACTCAGTGGAAATGGGTCAAGCATTAACTGAGCAGTACTAAATAAGAGTTAGACACGATATCCCTAGGGCAGTTAAACATGATCTTTTTATGCCATAAAATGTTTCCCCTCTTGTTTTTTCTTATATATGTGCTTTTGATTTTTTTTTGTTTTTTGTGGCACAGGTGAACTAATACTTAAATATTTTTATAGAGAAAGTTTTTTTTTTTTCATCTAAACATTTAAGTGTTATGCCAAAATAAATCGTCTTTTTATGCATGACAAAACATTAACAGGGGAGTTAATCATGGCTGCTGTAAAAATCATCTCGCTCCTCATAAATGAATCAACAATTAAGAGATTAGCAAAAAGATTAGTTTAATTACTATTTCACTCTGTCACTTGACAGCTGTTAATAGTAATGCTTAACATTCTACAAATTTTTTTTACTGACTAAAATCAAAAGAAACATTTCAATTTTGTGAAGGCTTTGCAGATTGATGGCTTCTTAATTGCAGTCGATTCAATAAAATCTGAACAATTATTCAGCAAATTATTATGCAAACTGTTTTTCAGTAATGCTTATGATAATTTATGACCATTGACAATCCCTTTCTTCATGGTTTTTATAATATACTCATTAGAAATGCATTTATACTGCATATATAGACATGATCTTGTCAATGCTACCATCCATTTTCTGACTACTGACAATTACTTGTACCAAAATTTTCAATATACAACCAAAAGGTCAAAAAGTCGAAAAAGCCAAAAAAGCCAAAAAAGGCCAAAAAAGTCAAAAAAGGCCAAATGACAAAAGTAATATTAAAAGTATTATCATCTGTAATTAGTCACAATGATTCCAATTTCATTAACTCATCCATGCAAAGTACAATCACTACTACATCTACCTTCCACACCCCATTTTGTGATTTGATAAGACAGATGGAATCACTACTTCAACTGGAAATAACATAGCCTTTCAACCTATAAAGACCAATATGCCAAACCCTGTCAAACACTTTTGAGATGTCCAAAGCAATAGTCCGAGTTTCATAATTCTTATCTAAAGCTTGATAGACTTTTTCAGCAATAATCATTAGTACATCAGCAGTTGGCCTTGAAAAGTGAAAACTATATTGTGTGTCTGAAAGAAGGTCCTGTGATGCTAACAATTATGACATCATTAGGGTCAAATTATGGTGATAATGAGAAATAATAGTTTGACTTTGTTTTGAGGGATGTGTTGCAGTAGTTACTTCTTCTTAGGGAGTGATTATTGTCTGTAGGGACTTCTGGTGAGGGAGTCATTATTGTCTATGGTGTGAGATGCTTAACCAATTCAGAAGCTACCATTACAAATATACCCAGCTTTGAGAGTCAGTAGCAGAAAAATGCAAAGTTGGCCAGAAACAGACAAAAATTGTATTTTTTTTTTATTAAAATTAAACTGAACAAAACCAAGTATGTGGAAATGCTAGCTGATGATAGAAATGTTCATCAGACAAAAGATGCACACAAATATTTAACAGAAAAATACAAGGCTCTTCCCTAAATTGAGCACTGTCAGTCACTGGTGTGTTTATTCACACAGTAAGTATGTAAAAATTTGCCTTTCTCTCAACTGTGTGCTGATGGCTTAGGAGAAAAATCTCTGTTGCCAAATCAGTTGGGTTTCGATCATGGCTTGAAGCAATTGGATGTCTAGCCACACTGATGAGATGTGAAACGGCAAAACAGTCTGCGGATGACAATATATACGCACCTTAAAAACTTAAGTTCGGTTGTGCACTCTTGGAAGATAAGTGCAAATTTGTAAACAATGACTATTACTACTAATATTACAAGGCTCTTCCCTGAATTAAAAACTGTCAGTCATTGGCATGTTTATTCACAGAGTAAGTACAGAAAAATTCACCTTTCTTTCAACCGTGTACAAATGGCTTAGGGGGAAAATCTCTGATTATTGCTGAATCAGTCATTTTTCGATCCTGGCTTGAAGAAATCAGATGTCTAGCCACACTGATGAGCTGTGAAACAGTGTCTGTGGATGACAATATGCTTGAAGACTATAAAATTTCTAATAACAATGTATGCTTAAAATCTGAAACTTTAATTAAGATTAATAATTTGGTATACATTTTAAATATTGTTTAATTTTTAACCTTCTCCATAAATTACAAGTTAATTAAATTTTATTTTAATCTGGTATCTACTTATTAATAAGATACAATATCTTGACTAATTTTAAATTCTTTTGGGGAGTAGCTGAGGGGGTAATAATCCAGTTATTCAATTATCTAGAATTTTGAATTAACTGAAGATATTTTTTCCAACCCCTGCCCAAGGTGTCCAGATAACCGTGGGAATTTTCTCTTTCCGTCATTCTCTCACACCTCAAGAACTATTTGGTATTCTTTCACACTATGAATGAGAGCCATTCAAATACAGGAAACAAGCGAGCCGTTCAAATATGGGAAAGAATCAAATGATCAAATACGGGAAATAATCGAACTGCTCAAATACGGGAAAGAACAGGGCCATTCAAATATGGAAGAGAATCAAACAGTTCAAATATTGGAAAGAATCGAGCTGTTCAAATACAGAAAAAAATAGAGCCGTTCAGATATGGGTAAGAAGCAGGCTGTTCAAATATGGGAAAGAATCAAGTAGTTCAGATACAGGAAACAAGCTAGCCATTGAAATATGGCAAAGAGGCAAGCCATTCAAATACAGGAAAGAAGCAAAATATCTGTAAGAAGAGAGTCATGAATTTATAAAAGAAAAACATTTTTTCTTTCTCCTTTCATACTTACTTTTACTATATCCATTAATTTCCTCATAGATGGGTTGTGAAGCTAAAATTTTCTTGCGTTCTTCCTCATCCATTGTCATCTCAACAGGAGCCTCTCTGGTGGGGGGTAGTTCGGCCGATAATTGAGGCGAAGATTCTGTAGATGATTCTGTGAATGATGACCGAGATGGTTCGATAAGTGGTGGTGCTTGCTTGACTGTTTCCGTAGCAGGCACAGGGCTAACACAGGTTGCTATCCCTGTGCTTGCTATGGGAGGTGTGGCTGGGACTGGTGTGGCAGAAGCATTGCCGGAAGTCCGCATACTGGTGATGGGCTCTAAATAGCCCTCCGACGGAAAGTTGGAACTACCGTTTGATGATGTCCGCGATGCTGAATTAGATCGAGATGGATCAACAGGGTAATAATAGTTGTCTCGCTGGCCAGGGAATTTAGGTGTGATTGGTTCATAGAGGTTTTCCACTGAGCCGAGAGGTGACATGTTTGTATCATCAAAGTTTTTGTCTCCACCTGATCCAGAAGACGTTGAACCACCTACAAGAAAATAATAGTAAAAAAAAGCAATCAATACTTGAATATGTATCCTAAGATTATTGGATTTGCTTTGAAAAGATAAGAAAAATGAGTAGAAATTATTCTTGCCTATTAAGCTAAACAAGTTGCTTTCAGAAAGAAAATCCAACCTCACCGATTTTTTTTTTTTTTTTTTTTTAAAGTAAATTAACAATCTTAACTTCTGAAACAGATAAGAGCAAAATAAAAATGACTGATAGATTTGTTTAATGGCATATCAACACCTTTATGGGTCATTTAATGCTGAAATTTAATTTTCTCGGGAGCTTTGAAGCAATAAAAATATGTTATTCTGTTTTTACAATTGAATACATGATAGATAATACTCAACTTTTGTGCATATACATGTTTGTGAGGACATGATTACTAGAGAGGAGGTGATATGTGTGTTTTATATTGTAGTTTTGTTGAAGTTATATTTTGGAATACAAATCTTTTGATTTAAGAACGTGTAGGATATTATATGGCTTAATGTCATGAAAGAGTTATTTCCTGTTGGTTGTTTTGGTTGATTCTGTTTAGTGGTATATCAACACCTCTATGGGTTATTTAATGCCAAAATCTAAATATTTTGAACACAATTTTATGGATTCAACTAAATATATTTTAAAAATAAAAGTATGCCTTCAAGTACAGATAAAATGTATTGTTGGTCATTTTGCTATAAAATTGTATGGCTAGTCAATTATTGATAATAATTATCAATAAATAAGTATTATTGGTCATTTTACAATATAAAAATGTATTGCAGGTAATTTGACTATAAAAATGTATTTCTATGCTTATATATATTTTTTGTTTGGGGGTTTCACATTTGTCCACAGCTGGGGCTCTAGCAGATGCTACTACCCTAGGTCAGGGTGAATCTGGGAATAACAGCATGCTCCTCCAATCTCCTGATCAGAAGCCTTGCTGCCGGATGTAGTTTATTGTCATACCAATGACTGAAATAAAGTGAATTTTCTAAAGAAAGTAATGGATTTTTATTAAATCTATTGGATTTTTTCAAATTCTCTTTATTTACATTTGGATATGAAACTGTGCAGATATGAAAGATTTTGGGAGATTTTTTTCATTTTCTTTTAAGCATTTCACCCCAAGCAACATGGAAGTGCCACTAGTATGCAAGGGGTTACAGAGAATGAAATTAAAAGAAAAGTATAGTATAGGTATAGTGAGGATTGAGGAAAAGAAAAAGAAAAATGGGGGACAAGGCATCAGAAGATGCCAATTGACATTACATTTAAATTTTTTTAAATTATAGTTATCAGGGAAGCAAGTAAGAGGAAGGGAGTTCCACTGTCAGGAAGTGTGAGAAAAGAAGCTGTTGGAATAGAAGAGGTGGTTACAGTTAACTGTTTTGACAGTAAAAGTGTGGGACTGAGATGCCAACATAGTAGCATGCTTAAATTCATGCAGTCAGGGCACCAGTGAAAATAGCTCGTCTGAGCAGATGCCATGAAAATATTTGTAGAAAGAGGGAACCACATCATGTCTGTGAGAAAGTGACTGGAGTTGTGATACTAAGTCAGGGGCGATTACATTGCATCTCCGTCTTTGGATTTTGTCGAGAAACTCAAGATGAACAGCAGGGGCACCAGACCATATATGGCAACAGTATTCTATGCATAGTTGAATGGTAGATTTGTAGATGGAAACAATGGATTCAGATGAGAAAAACCTTCTGGAATGACACAGAGAACCAACTTTCCTTGCAGCTATTGATTCAATGTAGTTGTTCTACTTCAGGTCAGTGGAAAATGTTAGACTAAGAAGGTTCAGTGAGACGCTTTCATGAAGTTGGGCATCAACCATGATGATTGGTTTGGTTTGTTTTTATGGCATATCAACCTCAATGGGTTATTTAATGCTGACAAAATTTTTATTTCTGGTAACATTTTTTCAAAAAAGTATAGCAGATAATTTTTTTCAGAAAGGTATAGCTGGTAATACCATAATTCCCCATGTATAATAAAATTTCATCCATAATATGCACCCATAAAATTGTGCTGAAAGTGTGGGAAAATTCTTCTACTCATGCATAATATGCACCCCTTGTTTGGTAATCAAACCCTATAAATTGTACCTCTCCAATTTCATTATGGCCAGCGTTTCCTATGCTTAAGAAAAATGGTTTTAAGCATAGAATAATATTCTAATTTAGTTTTATGTTAATTCTTATTTTATTTTACATTTGTAAGTATTGTTAGGTACATATGATTGTATTTGACATCCTTATGGAGTCGCAATTGCTGAAAGCTAGTGTTAAATTGTTGTATGTTTGTGGTCAGTAGTGATTTTGCAACTGAAAACAACCAATGAAATGGCAATTTTTTAAAGATTTTTTGTAGCTGTGCTTAATACACACCCCTAATTTTGCTTATTATTTTTTTTTAGAAAAATGCATATTATACATGGGGAATTATGGTATATAGGATATTTATAATTTATCATTTTAATATAATTATATATTTACTAAGCTTAACTTTGTCTGGCACAAAGACAGAAATGAGTATCAAGTGAACTCCCTACACTCGTAATGGGCTACTTGAGTAACATGCTAACCACTGTTCCATGGCAAAGTTCCACTAGAATCCCAAATATAAGAGCATCCAATAAGAATTTACAGTACTAGCAAATTAGTTTGCAAGATGGTTGGTAGCTACTTAAGTCTTGCACAGAACTATAGAATGTGGGGTTGAACTCATTCCATCACTCCTCAAGCAAGACTAGCTTACTGCTTAGGATATTTTTTAAGGAATCATTTTACTCTAAGCAAGGTAATAAAGCCACTAAGATGCAAGGAGTTACTGAGTATGAAAGAATATGAGAAAAAGAAAACATTATAAAGGAAACAGAACAATAAAAAAACAAGATAATGATTTACATTGAATTAAAATTTTTGAAGATCAAGGTTAATTGGAAAGCAAGAAGCCGGAAGAGAGTTCCAGAAGTGAGAAATGCGAGAGAAGAAACTGTTAACATAGAACTTACATCTCACCATTTCAATTGTAAAATGATGAAACCTTGCCACCACTTAAATTCATAAAGTCTAGGTTATGAAGAGAAAAGCTCATCAGAACAATTACCATTAATTATGTTACGTCAATTGACAGCTTCTGATGCCTTGATCACCATCATTCTCTTTATCCTTTCTTCAAACACCCCTCTTTACTCTTATTTTCACTCTCTGTGACCCCTTGCATGCTAGTGGCACTCACGCCTTGCTTAGGGTGAAATGCTTAAAAAATAATGAAAATTTTATACTGTATTCAAGAATTCTAGCAATTCACCTGATTTAGTTACACAGAAATATGTTTCCTAGATCCAAACACAAAGAATTTAGGCAACTTTAGTACAACTTGAGTACAAATTCTTGCATAGAAATTAAGTAACCTGAGTATGTTTTTTAATCATTTCATTCCAAGCAAGACAATAAAGCCACTAAGACAGAAGGAGTTGCTTAGCATAAGACAATATGAGAGGGATAAAACACGATTAAGGAGAGAGAACAATAAAAGAACGGGAATTAAGACAGAAGATAACAATTGACATTGCATTTAAATTTTTGATGGTCAAAGTTCATTGGGAAGCAAGAAGCCAGATGAGAGTTTCACAAGCAAGAAGTGTGATAGGAGAAACTGTTAGCATAGAACTTGCATCTAGCCATTTCAACTGTAAAATGACAAGACCTTGCTGCCAATCTAGTACTGCGCCTAAATTCGTAAAGTTTAGTGATGTAATGGAATAACCTGTCATCCCCATGAGTGACTACACTATAGGTAGTAACTACTTATAAGTATCTCTAAGACAATGGACTACAGAGACAAGCTGGGATCTGTTCCAGCTAAACAGTCAAACTCTCTGCCTTTGGGCAGAGAGGAACCCGGTTAAGGCTCTGCTGAAGGACCAAGTCTTGTTTGGAGAGGTAGACTGCAACTGAACCCATTTATATGGGTTCAAAAGGGAATATTTTTGGCCAAGCCTATGGTCTCGGAGAACCCACATTAAACTGGCCTTGTGCCACATGCAACCCTCATGGGATGGGTAGCTAAATATACTAGCTGGGATCTGTTGAGTACAACTCAGACTTACACGACCTTCCAATAGTAGCACTCACTACTTAATTGACAACCTTGTGCATAACTGTTACCTTTATTCTTATTGTACTGGTTTTTAAAATAAACCTTTACTTATTTTATCCACCTTGTTTTTCAAGTATATATTCCTGTAAGCACAGAATATAACATTTAGGTACCTTAGAAGAAAGTTCATAAGAACAATTACTATGAAAGTATTTATAGAAAAGGCACAGGAAAGCTATGTTACAGGTGTGGGAAAGGGGCTGAAGCTGTGATGCCAGGTCAGGGCCAATAATATTGCAGATTCTTTTTTGCATTTTATCAAGAATCTCTAAATATATAACAGAAACACAAGACTAGATGTGGCAGCAATATTCTAAGCATGGATGAATGTTAGACTTATAAATATATAAGATAGATTCCGGCAAGAAAAATTGCTACAGTGAACCAACCTTCCTAGTAGAAGACCTAGCAATTGATTCAATATTTCCACTTTATGTCAGTGGAAGGCATTCTCATTGAAGGTTAGCATCAGCCATGCTGATGGAAGGCAAAAACAGCCGTCTCAGAAGAGTTTCATTTTGGAAGTGTTAAAATTAACATACCATTCCTTGCCCCATAAAAAGAAAAACAAATCATATAATTCACTGGAATCCTTTCATTTAACTGCATTAAATATGTTGTACTTGCATAATATATATAAAAGTAAGGATCATTTACACTTAACTTGACCCTTCTGACAAAGATCAGAGTGTAATATATTTCGGTTGTTGATTATGCATGTCAAGACTTGTGATGACATCTCATAAAACCTGAAGTAAAAGACAATATTTATAAATGTAAAAGACAATAGGAAAACTGTAATATTAGCCAATGTGT